GAGGAGCTCACTGGGGTTTGCTCGCCTGAGTGTTCCGCACCTCATGGTGGTGTGGGTTGTCGCACTACACTTTTAAAACGAGACAACAATGCAAACCAACCGTTGATAGTCACCGGATTCTGACTTCTTTTTTTTTCTTCTCACCAATGCTCTGATACCATGTGAGAAATATAAGGAAAGAATATTATTGAATTGTTGTTGTAATAATTACATAGAGAGCCCTATTTATAGACACTATATAATACAATTCCTTACCAAATAGGAGACTATAAACTATTCCTAGTTTGTGTAGGATTGTGTTTTCCTATTCTATTCTAACAGTCACGAACAATGAAGAACTAGCGAAGATCGATCAGGTGGGAAGAGAAGAGACTTCAAAACCTGCAACTTCTAGGTCCGCTTCAGTATCTTGGGTCGATTTCACTTTGGACATCTAAATTTCTCACAGATGCCATAGAATTGATTCCAAAAAAGACTTCTACAGTTCCTTACTTATGGCCTTGTTGTGTTGCTATAACTCTAGGTAAAATTGAACTCTCTCAATTTGGTAAATACCACCGACGTTCCACATCACAACTTTCACACCTACACTATTTCTCAGCAGGTTGAGTCCCAAAGGACTAATACCACTATTTAAGAGATTCTCGTAGGAGGACCGTCAAAATTGTGACACCTTGATGGTCTTTACAGCAGATAAGAAATCAAGTTGACCTTAAAACATGTGCTATTGACTATGTTTAGGTGTGTAACTGAAATATTGTAAACCTCTGCCTTATGTTTATTGATTGTTGTGTGTTTCTTTCAAGCCTGTGATTTCTTAATTGATGATTTGTTGCTTCAATTATGTGCTGAATGATAGTAAAAGCTGCATTTTGACATTTTTGATCTTAAAACTGGGTAGTGGAGGGTTGTTTTTTTCGAGGGTTTAGGCTTGGTGTTTGTCATTGTACTTCTTGTTTTTGTATCTATCATCGTATGTTGTTTAGTGTGTTGCTATTATCGCACTATTTTGTTGTTCTTGTTCCTACATTGTTTTTTTTTCTTTTTTGATGATGTGGTGTCTGGGCCAGCTTTCTCTCACCTCGACTAGTTTCACGAGATATCTGTCACCTCCAACCAGCAAGAGGTACGGTACCAGGTAACTCTATCCACCAAGACTAGCAAATTCTTCTTCTTTGTACTTGGTTTTGCTGCACTTGAGCCCAACAACCTACCTAGGCCTACCACTGTGAGCAAAATACGAAGCATCAACAATAAGGAATGGAGTTGTAAAAGGGTGGAGAAAAAATTGGCCACATGGTAAATGCAATACCTCACCCATCAGAATGTTGAGTCTAATCAACATTGTTCTAGACAATATCACTACCTATATTATGTTCCTTTTTCCCATGTCCTCAAAGGTTCAGAAGCAACTAAACAAGGTAAGAAGATCCTTCCTATGGAAAGGCAATAGTGAAGGACATAAACTTCATCTGTTGAAATGGTCAAAGGTCAGCCAAAAACTCTAGGATGTCTGGGTATCAGAGAGACAAAGACTAATCTAAACACAACACCAACTTGTTAATAAAATGGTGGTGGAGTTATGGTCATGAAACTACAAGTCTTTGGAAGAGGTGGTAACTGGTAACTACCAAACATGGGAAGCAAAACCATTGGTGCACTAGGAAAAACAGATCCCCTCGTGGTGTTGGCACTTGGAAATACATTAACAAGCTTAGAGATGATTTCTTCCTTGATGTCTCTTCCACAGTTGCAAACAGGAACCTAGTGAGCTTCTCGAAGACGAATGGCTTCACAACCAACCCCTGAAGGATTCTCATCCGAGCCTCTAGCAGTTAGCAGTGGACCCTGATTCCTCTATAGCTCAAATAGAGCAGGGAACTCATGGAACACTCACCTCAGGAGATATTTGCAAGACTAGGAACTTGGAAAGATCTTTAATCTTTACAGAATTCTAAAAGACATCATTGTTAATCCCAAACAAGTGAATGACTAAGACGGGGCAGTTCTAGTAAGGAGTCATACTCAGTGAAAGCAGGTTATAGTAAATTGTGTGCACAAAATGAAGGGACTAAAAACTAGCCTTGAAAGCTGATTTGGAGAACAAAAGCACCCACAAAAAATCATATCTTTACATGGACAGCCATTAGAAAAGCACTCTTGATACAAGAAAATCTCTGCAGAAAGAAGTTTCAGGTAACAAACAGATGTTTTATGTGCCAGCATAGTTTAGAAATAGTCAATACCTTTTTTTGTATTGTTCAATTGCTACAGATTTGTGGAACATGTTCCTGTCAGTTTTTGGTGTATCAGGAGAATCTAACAGTTGATAACAACATGCATTTGTTAGAGTATTGGACAGAAAGGAATCACAAATGTTTTATGAGACTCTTCTTTGAAATCTAAATGTGTGATGAGATCTTCAGCTGGAGTAATTTAGCCCATGTAAATGATGTCATCCCTTTTGTAGATTTCATTAGCTCTCTGTTTTTGGCTTAACAACCAACCCTTTTTTGCTTTCTTAGGGAAATGGCTCAATGAACTATCGGTAGGTTTTTGTATGTAGGATCCATCCCTATTCTCTTTTGTATTGTTACTGGATCTTTTTGATGTCATCAATATAACAACTACTTCATCAAAAAGAAAATTCATCAATCTTTCACCCAGTGTTTTGGACGGTGAAAGGCGACCAGGGTCTACCTCGCCACAAGGTGAGGCGAGCGGCAGGGCACTCCCCTTTTTGAAGTGCAGCTCCAATTAATACCAAAAAAAAAAATTAATTGCATATATAAATAATCAAAATATCAACAGCAATAACATATTAGCAAATATTTCAATTCAAAAACTGAAAATAGATAGTACATACTAAAAGTCTAGAAGCCGAGGAGGAAAGAATAATCTTCCAAGCGGACAGAGACCTAAATTTCCATTAGACCTAAATTTCCATTAGATTCATTCCTAAGCTTGCTTTGTTGCAGCAAGATGATCAGTCTGAGAGTGCTGGAGAGAAGAGAAAGCGGTAAAAACCTCTCTTATTCGGTCACCGAGAAGTCGGACGACTCTTCAGTAACCCAGGGTGATCCGACCCCTTCGACGCTTTTTTCGTTGTATACCCCCTCCATCCTTCGGAGGTGGAAGAAAGAGTACTCACATTTTAATACATAGTAGGCCCCAAAACGCTAAAAGGTGGGGGAACAAGAGTTGTCACGATAGAAAAGAGAAAAAAAGAAATGACTATAAGGAACCAACGGCTCTCTCTTCTTAAACAACCTATATCCTCCAAACTTAATCAGCATTTGATAGATTATCCAACCCCGAGCAATCTTAGTTATTGGTGGGGGTTCGGTTCGTTAGCGGGTATTTGTTTAGTCATTCAGATAGTGACTGGCGTTTTTTAGCTATGCATTACACACCTCATGTGGATCTAGCTTTCAACAGCGTGGAACACATTATGAGAGATGTTGAAGGGGGTTGGTTGCTCCGTTATATGCATGCTAATGGGGCAAGTATGTTTTTCTCAAACTAATATTGCAAATCGATATCGGGGGTGGCTGTGACGCTTCCTGTTGAGTACAATACACAATTCAGACTTGAAGTGAAAAATAAAAATAGAACAGAAGTCAAAACAGTGAGAAAGAAATAGAGGTAGAAGTAAATCTGAAGTCTGGAGAAGAAGGAAAAGAAACAGTTGATGAAGAAAAGAAGAAGAAATTAGAATAAGAAAAGAAGAAATACGTATTGGTTGGACTTTGGAGTTGCCGGAAAAGTTTGGTTGGTCACAAGAGAAGTCGAGTCGACTGGTTTGAGTCGCAGTCAAAGAGTGCAACTGTGCAAATTCGAAAAGAAAACCCTAAAATTACCCTTTAACTTATAAAATCCTAAATTGGTCATCTTTATTTAAGAAAATACCAAAGGCGGCGCCTTTCTCGCCATGGCATCGCCTTTTGAAGATCGCCTAGCCATAAAGCTAAAAGGCGATGAAGGGTCACCTCACCTCTCGCCATTTGCGAAAAAGTGATTGCCTTTCACAACATTGCTTTCACCAAGCATTTGGTAATCTTCCCATGTATAGTGCAAACTGAACAGAGTAAATGAACACTGCTTTATCTTAAAAGGATTAAAACCAAACAATTGAACGGAATTAACTTAAAAAGTGTCAAAAGTAAAATTGATTCAAAATTGATCAGACCAAGCAAATACAAATCCCATTGAACTTAAGAGGCAATGGTGCACCCGCCTTCTTTAAATTCCTGATCCGGCTCTGATCTTTCATCCCAAGGGAGACTATTAATGGAAAGCAATTAATTCTATTTTGAAAGCACAACCAAATACTTGATAAATTCAATACAAAATTTATGACCCTGATTGTTTCTCTTATGCGGCAGACCAAGTGACTCCTGAGAGGAAAACATTTGGGCCAGAGACTCGGGTCCTATCAACGCATTTGACTAAGAGTCAATTGAGAGGATCAAGACCAAGTTTCAATCATTCAGGGTGGTTTGTTTGGTTGTAATATTTACTCCTATGGTTGTTATCATTTGTTAGACATCACCTGTATTACTATTTTGTTTTAAGTCTGAACTGGGAATCTTTAAAACAGAAAAGAAAAATGTTAATCATTTAATTTTGAACACCCTATCAAACTTTATATCAGTAAAGCAGAAGGATAAATCCCGCTACCCCCTTGCTTTCGCTAGAAAGGGGTTTCGAACTTGACACTTCCAACATAAAAGTCTAAGCCCAAAGCAGTGGGCCACCCCCAAGGGTATAAATCCCCATTTTTCAATGGCGGAAATAAATAATGAATGAAATAAGATCCCTTTATCAATAAAAGGAAACCTATGACCGGATTTGTCTTCTTCACCTCAAAATGGGATTCCCATTTTCGTTCCTTGTTTACAAATTAAAATTATATGAAACAAAAAAGGTTCAAATAAAAGCAATTGAGTGGCAGAATAACAAATAGCAGAAAATCTTGTGTCTTCAATAGAGAAACTTACCTTGCAAACACTTAATGGGCTGGTTCTTGAAGGAAATAAAAGTAGCCGAGCTGAAGGTTGGTCTGAAGTTGAAGAGAGAAAGTGGGTGTGAGGGTCTGAGAGAATTAGAAGAATGGCCATATCCCACAACTTCCATTGCCGAAGATGAAAACACTATCTTGGGTCTCCGCTATCTTCTCTTAGCTTCTCCAGTTTGGACTCTGAGGGGCACCACACACTATTTTATAACTTATGCCAGAAAATTGAGTAACACCTCACCAAAAGGTGTCAAGGGTCATGAAATTAAGGGTGTGTTTGGAAATCACCACATAATTGGAATTGGAATCAGTATTACCCTAGTAATCATAATGACTTATTTGTACTTACAAATGTACTATTTAGTTGCATAAGTGCAATTGTAACATTAATAATAAAAAATTTAATATTAGATGACAATTAAGAGCGTTTATAAATGATACTGAATTGAATATTTGAGATATAAATTGTTTTATGAAAATATATTAATTAATAAAGATATATTCTTAATATATATTATAAAAAAATAACTTATATTTAATGTGAAATATCAAGTCAATAATACTAAAACAAATTAAACTGAAAATATAACATTACAAAACAAAAAGGAAAAATGTACAAGTATCCCCTCAACAATACGCGAAATCCCAACGACACACTTTAACTATACATGAGTCCTATTACCCCCTGAATTATTTTTAAGTGTAATAAACGCACTCTTAACACAACCTAAAACCTATATAGTCACTCACATGATGGGAGGTGTTTTACACTCGCCTCCAAGTCATCATTATGTCAGCGTCACGTCAATAAATGATCAGATCTATATAAAAAAAAAACTCCATGTCATTTGATTCCTTCTTCTTCATTATCAACACTTAGTCCATAACCACTAAACCCACTTATTTAAACCATTAAAACTCTTAACAATCACCATGAAAATTATAACCCACCACCAAATTTATCCCATCTCTACCACAGGATTCAATATCTACTATCAATTTTATTTTTCTTTCAATCCAAATAAATTTCATAAAACATGGTCCAAAATCTCCTTTGAAGAAACTACCTAAATTTTTAACTCTAATTCGAGAAGAATTCAAAATTGGGGTCATTTTTTTCTGATTGAAGTGAGAAGGGATGAGAAGGAGGGAGGGTGTTATTGATGGAGAACTGAAGCGGCATGGAGGTTGGGTTGGGGTAGGGATGGGATGTCATATTGTTGGAGAACTAAAGCGGTGGGCAAGAGTGGGGGTGTGGGTGGGGCGGGTGAGGGCTGGTTGTAGGGGTAGGAGTAGGGGTATGACATGGATAATTGAGGAGGGGATGATAGTTAAATTATTTATTTGTAATTATTTTTTAAAAAAAAACTCTAATTTAAATTATGCTCTTTTATATGTTGCCTAAATTAAATTCCTAATATGCAATTTTTTTCTCATCAGCGAATTTCGAGTAATGTATTTGAGTAAAAAATGAAAAAGAAAAAAATTCTCTCGATACTATACAAATTAATTTAAAACACTGAAAAGAATTCTTTGACAATTTAAATTATTGTGAAAAATGATAAAATTTGACTCTATTTCATAAAGAAAAAAGAAATTTTATTAAAAAATATCAATTTAAGTTTTAAAGTTAATTAACTATCTCTACTAATTAATTATAAAATGTTCAATTAAAAATGAACACGTGTCCATATTAATCATATTTTAATACCTTTTTCCGTATCTCACATGCCTCTAAGAGAGTGAACACACTCTCTGTGCCACCTCAGCACGAAAGGGTGCCTTTATTACACTTTAAAATAATTTTGGGGGTAATAGGTCTCATGTATAGTTAAGATGTGTCGTTGGAATTTCGCGTATAGTTGAGGGGGGTACTTGTGCATTTTTCCAAACAAAAAAAAGACATAATATTCTTATGTCCAATTTCAACATAACGTAAATGTAAGTCTATAACCTTACTCAAAAATGAATTCTACCTTAATTTTAAAATTAGAATGCTAACAAAATTATGTTAATGAAAAAAAGAATAAATAAATAATACAAAAAATTGAGTGCAATCACATAAAAAAGTAAAGTTGAGAATGAGAAGAAAATAAATATAAAAAATAAAGAATGAAAAATTTAATTTTAGAAAGTATATAACAAAAATATTTTTTACGAAAATAACAGAAATAAAAAAAAAAAAAATAAAGGAAGAAAATGAATTTAAAAAGTTTCATGCAATCTTTATATATATAAAGAGAATCCTAAGCTTGCCTTTGTGGCACCCTTCGAATTCAAGAATTTAATTATTTTAATGTTTTCCTTCGTACTTTTAGAGTTTTTTACCCCTATTTTATTTTTATCTTAAAACTCGTTTCTTCAACTCTTGTGTCCCTTCAGATTGTTGTATCCCTTCGGTTGCGTCTATTCAGGAACTAATCATACACATTGTTGTATCTTCTTCTTCGTGACAAATTTCATCCCTAATTTTTGTGAAACTTTGGATCTTCACCCAAAAAAAATAATGAAACAAAACTATAATTTTCTTATAGTTTTTTTCCTCTATTCAACATTCCAAAAGAAAAACTATTTCAACTGTTCAATTCTTAAATAACTAATCACAACCATGACAATTTTTTGGTTGGTACCTATTTTTTTGGTGGGCTTTTCCCTTCTGTCATCACTTTGTTCGACAACTTACATTAGTGTTTTATTCAATGATCTTTAAAACTTAACTTTCATGTATTGAATTACTTTTGTGTTTTTAATTATGAAATTTTTAAAGCATTCTTGATGGAATCAGAATTGAGGAAGAGACAACAAAGAGAGAATAAATTCTGCCACAACTTGCTAAGGTACTTGTACCTATTAATATATATTTATTGGGAGTTGAAATGTTATTGCAGTAATCATATCTCAAAAATGTTGTAAAGTTTTGCCGATATGAAAAAGTCACAATCCTTTAGAAAAATTACAATTTTTTAAAAATCAGAACCCAACGAAAAAATTATAATCCCTCAATGTAAAAAGTTGTCTACTTTTAACATATTTTACAATATAATTAAACTACCTATAAAAACTACGCAAATAATACTCGTTTTTGTTTCTTCTTCTTCGTAACAAACTTCATCCCTATTTTTTTGTGAAACTTCGTTAATTCCTCGGAAGTCTACTTTGGATCTTCACCAAAAAAATAATGAAACAATACTATAATTTCATTGCAGTTATTTCCTCTATTCAACATTTTAAAAGAAATACAATTTCAATTGCTCAATTCATAAACAATTTATCACAATCATGACAATTTTTTGGTTCATACCTAGTTTTTTTGGGCATTTCCCTTCTGTTATCACTTCGTTCGACAACTTACGTTAGTGTTTTATTTAATAATCGGTAAATTTTTATCTTTTATGAATTTGTAATAAATTACTTTTGTTTTTTGTTATGAAAACTTTTTAAGCAGATGGAATCAAAATTGAGGGAAAGACAGCAAAGAGAGAATAAATTCTGCCACAACTTGATAAGGTACTTGTACCTATTAATATATTTTACTAGGAGTTGAAATGTTTTATTAATCATATCTCAAAAATGTTGTAAAGTTTGACTGATATGTAAAAGTCACAATCCATTAGAAAAATCACAACCCATCAGAAAAGTCATAATCCATCAATGTAAAAAGTTGTTTGATTTTAATATATTTTACAATATAATTAAATATAGTATGAATTATTTTGTAGGATTTGGGCTAAGGATTTTGGTATTAATACTTATCTATTGTATGAAATATAGAAGGGATATGGCATAAGTACCCCCTAGAGTATGACCGAAATCCCAGAGACACACCTTACCTAAACTAAGGTCCTATTACCCCCTGAACTCATCTTTTATATAAGTTTGTACACCTTTTGGCTTATGTGGCACATTTCGTGACTCCACGCAGTTCAAGCACGTGGGAGATATTTGGATATGACGTAAGTCGAAAAGGTGTACAAAATTATAAAAAAAAGGGTTTCAGGAGGGTAATAGGACCTCAGTTTAGTTAAGGTGTATCTCTGAAATTTCGATAATAGTCTAGGGGGTACTTGTACATTTTCCCAAATATGGAATATGTACTAAATTGCGTGTTAACAAGAAGGATAAAAAAAACTTAGAAATTTTGTGGTTTAAAAATGTAAGAGAACCACTCTAATTATACCCAACAAAGGGTAGTATGAACAAATGTTTATTGTGTCTTATCAGAAAGTCACTATCCTTCGAAAAAGTCACAATATTTTGAAAAAAGTCACAATCCTTCGAAAAAGTCACAACTCTTTGGAAAAGTAATAACCCTTCAGAAAAGTTACAACTCTTTTGGAAAAGTCACAATCCTTTGGAAAAGTGACAATCCTCCAATGTGAAAAGGTTTCTTATTTTAATATATTTTAAATTATGATATAAATAAATATAGAATTGTAACACCTCAGACTTTGAAAGAGCTAAATCGAGAGTCATACAAGTTACTTTTCAATTGTGAATTTTGGGTCAACTTCAAACGACCATAACTCTCAGCACAGGATGAGTTAGGTGGCTCATGAGGTATCAAATCGAAGGTCGTTGAGTCCTCTTTCCAACGTCGCCGATATTGCTAAATTTTGAGTTCGGATGAAGGAGAAATGCATGCTTGAATGCAGCCACTCTAGGCATTTTTTCATCCATTTTAAGGAGGGGTATTTTGGTGTTTTTCCTACCCCACTAGGCATACACATTTTTTTCACCCAACTAAGGGTCTAAAATGATTGAGATCAGTTTTCATTCATTCCTAAACGCTTAGGATTGAGAGAAGGTTTTCAAGAGGAGAAAAAGAAGAAATTTTCAAGAGTTCTTCCAAGCTTTAAGGATTTTGGCCAAGAACTTAGTTCTTACGGGGTATGTAAGTTCTCCTCTAAATACTAACTATCTAAGACTTCATTAGTCATTGAGTGATCATATATATCCTAACCATAACTCTCAAATCTTCATTTCAAATTAAAGTAAAGATTAAGAGTAAAGTTCGAGAAACCTTTTTGAGTCATTTTGAGAAGTCTTTTACAATCTTCTAAAACTTGTTTTAAGACTTGAGTGAATGAGTAAGAGGATGAGGAAAGTTGAGTTTCATGTTTCAAAATGAGTATAAGGCAACTAAATATTTCCAAGTGTAAACATTTTTACATTTAAAATGAGAGGAAACCTTGATTTCTAAACGAGTCTATGAGAAG